CTGGGTTTTGGGTTGGGATGTCTTTTTGTGTGTTTTTCTGTTTTATCAGTTCTGTTTTAGTTCACTTAAGTTCAGCCTTTCATGGTCATTCTAGTTTCAGTATTTACTGTTACTTATTTTGGTTAGATTTGTCTTGTTCCTGTTTTTCTTTGCTTTGGTCCCTCGTGGTGTTTCTAGTTGTGTTTGTTTCTTAGGAATTTTGCACTCTAGGTCTAGCTGTTGTTTAGTGTGAAGAGTCTATTTCTTTAGTGATTCTTGTTAGGGTCTCTGTCTAGACCTTTTTGTTTATTGTAGATTGTATGTTCCTTATTAGATCAGTCTAGTTTCTGTTCAGTTCTTTTACAGTTTCTATTTTATTATGATTCTTTAATGTTAGAATTATTTCATTCTCCCCTGAAAAAATGTCATTGAATGGCAGCAAACCCTAATCCCTCAATCCTTCATACATGTAGCAACAGAGGAAAGGAAAATGTCACCTTAACAGGAAGAAACCTCCAGCAGAACCAGTACCTGGTTCAGTCTGAACAGCCATCTTCCACGACCGACTGGGGTTTGAGGAAAATAAACAGAGAAATGGAAGCAATGATCCAGGAGTTATTTCTACATTAGAGAAAAGTAAGAAGTTAATGGCACTAGAGTAGATAAAGTAGTCACTTTAGTAGCTTCATCTAGGAGAGAAACACATCTTAACAGATGAGCTGAGCCGGTTTAAAGTCTATAGGATGAAAGAAAGCACATGCATTTAGTCATATCTACAGCTCAGCTTTGTCCAAGAGAGCGACATGTTTGGACACTAAAAGACAGGACAAGAATGTTTTCTGCAAGTATGTGTGAGTTTGACATGGATATTTCATCACTTATGTTATTTTGTTCAGATATTAATATATTGGCCACTTTAAACAAATCTTCTTTAAACCAACAATGGAAAAAACTGAATGTTATCCAGTTTTTGACTCACTCATTCAGTTTATAATTTTCTTCATTCAGCTTGGCTTCCATAACATTATTTTCAATTACCAAGACATTGTTGGTCTACTTCTAAGCTATTATTTTTAAAGATGCTGCACAGCATTTAAATAATTGAAATTATAAAAGGCATATTAATTTTGAAAATGAACCTTTGCAACATCAGCCCTTATTGATGTTAAAGTGGAGGTGTTTGCTACTCTAAATTGTCTGAGTCTCATATTGTCACCTGCAGGGGGTTTCCTGATTCCCTATCTGCTCATGCTGCTTCTGGAAGGCGTGCCTTTGTTCTACTTGGAGCTAGCCATTGGCCAGAAAATGCGTCTGGGCAGCATCGGTGCATGGACTGCTATAAGCCCATATTTAGGAGGAATTGGTAAAAGTCTAGATTACAAACACAACATTTTCTGATGCTAACTTTAATACTCATTCATTGCTTTCTAACCTTTATCCTATTTGACCTATATCGTTTCAGGACTTGCCAGTGTTGTGACATCAATGTACTTATGTCTCTATTACAACATTATCAATGCATGGAGTTTCTGGTACCTCTTTCACTCATTTCAAGTGAGTTGGTTATTAAATGCTCTATTTTTTTTTTTTTTTAGCAAATTCTGAAACTGTGTTGGACCTGCTGGGACTTAGGACTGTGTTAGATTGTGAAGAATTAGAACATGTTGATAATTTGCCAAAGCAAAGAGATGTTTAAATCATCTTTATAGCCCATTACGTTCTATCTTCATTATATACACACTCAGCAGTTCACCTGTCTTTCTTCTAGCTTTATGAATTAACTTTTATGTAGTAATATTTGACTTAACCTAAATGCAATCTAAGTTTGGAAAAAGCAAAACCTTCTGTAGCCAGATATTTGAAGTCCTAAATTTCATGTATTTAGGACTTCAAAAAAAAATCTTAAATTATTGGACTATTTTAATTTAGCTGCGTCAGGTAAATTTGGGTCAATTAGCTGACTCAAATTGGAAAAAAACTGTCTAAATTAAAACCTGTTCAGAATCTATTGATTTTACAGTAAAAAGTTGTGATATTATATTTTTTGGCTGACTTCTAATGTCTGTCCTACTGTGCTCCTTGCATCCCCACCACCTCCCCTCCAAGTCTGTCTTGCCCTGGGCAGCTTGCCCTGTAAATTCCAACCGGACCGGACCTATGGAGGAGTGTGAAAAAGCTTCACCCACCCAGTATTTCTTCTACAGAGAAACCCTTAACATCTCTCCCTCTATTGAAAAGAATGGTGGCATTCAAACAGGCCAAGCCCTGTGTTTCCTGCTTGCATGGGTGATAACTTATCTATTCATTATCCGAGGTGTAAAGTCAACTGGAAAGGCAAGAAAGCTTCCTTATTTACAGACTCAATAAAGCAATAATATCATCTGCAATTGCATATATAACAGTTTACTGTAATATTGTGATCCTTCATATTGTTTCCTGATAAATTCACCTCACCATATTAAAAGCATTGCACCAATAATGGTGCTGTTTGACTTTTGTAGGTAGTATACTTCACTGCAACATTTCCATATGTTGTCCTGTTCATCTACTTGATTCGAGGCATGACTCTTCATGGAGCTCTAAATGGTGTCAAATACATGTTCACACCCAAGGTGAGAATGGATTGGCTTTAGGAATATGTACGAGGCCTTATCGCTTTGCTTTAGATATCAGAACGCTGGAGTTTGCTTTAATTTTCATGTGCATGTGCATCTCTGTGCTTTTAGATGGAAGAACTTGCCAATCCTACTACTTGGATCAATGCAGCCACTCAGATCTTTTTCTCTCTGGGTTTGGGTTTTGGGTCACTCATAGCTTTCGCCAGCTACAACCAGTACCACAACAACTTTGAGCGGCAGGCCATCATTGTCTCCCTCATTAACAGTGGAACATCCATCTTTGCCTCCATTGTCACTTTTGCCATCTATGGGTTCAAGGCAACTATCAACTATGAGAATTGCTTGGACAGGTATGTATTATTCAGATTGCTTTAGTCTGTTCCAGTGGATTTAAGTAACATTACAAACATTTGGAAGCTCAAGGAGGCATGTAAGACTTCTTGTTACACACCTTTTTTTTTTTTTACATGTGGAACTGTTTTAATCCTGGTTAGCTTGCTCCTTAATCAGTCTTTCGTCAGTTGCTACCGGTATTTAGCTGTGTGCTAAACTCTCTGCCGTGCTGCCTGTATTTGGACTGTTAGAGCTTTTCATCATTAAATTCATCATTTTCTTCTACAACCTGGGTCTCAGCGTTCATCCTCACCACCTCTCATTCACCACTTCATGACGGAGACAACTGTATATCAATGAATGCCTGTTAATTCTCTTTGTCCCAGTTCACAGACCTCCTGTCCTGTCACTGTTGGACATTATTCTGTTGTCTGTCTTCCAATTCAGACATAAATCTCATAGACATAATCACCTTTTACGAATCCTAATGCTTCAAATCCACTCTTGTCTGGCCATATAAGGTCATGAAATGTTGACATAGCCATTTATGAAGATTTGACCTGGATTATTTTAAAGGCCATTCATGGCATGAGCTAAAACATAGTTCATGCTATGTACTGCTGCAGTAATAATCCTTGTTGACTGGCTAGTGTGTAATGCTGTTGCTTTATGCTAGCATCAGGTTCATGGTTTTCTCAACATCCACCTTCCTTCTCTCTCAGGACACGCATACTGCTGCTCAACTCTTTCAATCTTGCCGAAGACAGCATCACCATCAACAATGTGTTTGAAATGATTGAGAAGCTGAACACAACATTCCCAGAGCAGTTCGCTGAACTTAGCAACAAACTAGAAGACTGCAGCCTGGAGAATGAGCTAAGCACTGTATGTACATTATCATTTATTGACTGCTGTTGGGCTGTAACATCAGGTTCTAATCATCAGAAATTAAAACCTGATAAATAAAAAGCCTCACTTTTTTATATTATTACAATCACTATGTACAGATTGTATTAATGCCAAGATAAATACATTTTCACATGATAAAGGCTGAAGCACCAGCTTATTTGCCAACCTTTCCTACTAACCATCTTTTGTTTCTAGACTAAACCAACCAAGCTTTAAAACTATACATAGATATGCCATTGAATTTTATTGATATTCAAATTCTGAAGTTCGAAACCCAGAATTTCCCATTTTAATGCATCAATTGACATTTCATAAAACTTTTACAGAAAGAAATAGATGGCTATTTTGAATCATTTCTGATAATAAAGGATCGTTTTGTTGGGATTATATTTAATGATGGGTTATAGAACTGATACTGTAGGCCAATGTTTGATTTGTATATTGCACAGCAGGAATCAGAGGTTTCCAATTAATGTCAGTGTAACCCCTAAACACTGACATTAATTGTGTTTAGGGGTTAAACACCCCTAAACACAACCTCATGTTGGATCTCATGTTGGACCCAACATGAGAAAGGTCATTTTATCTGTCAAGTTGTGCAACACATCATATAAAGGCAATCTTTTATGTGATTGCTTGTTTTATGTGGATGTTTTTATGATGTTTGTTCAGCACTTTTGTGTTTATGCTCACAATGAATTTAAGGATGTTTTTTCTGTGATGGCCTTTCAGTTAAAATCTGTGTGACTGAGCTTTGTGCAGTTAACAATCATTTTATGCCCCTTTACGTCTCTTAACAGAAATACAACTTGAATGTGAACAGTATTGATGTGAAGAAATAATTTAGCTCAGATTCATACAGAAGTATCAGTTGACCAGAAGAGTGCCAGAATGTTGATTTTACCAAAATGTTGTAACAAGTTGTTTTACCTTTTACTATTATTAATATTGAGCAAGAACTATGTTCAGTGTAATGTATATGGTAAATGGCCTGTGCTTGTATAACACTTTATTTTTTGACGACAGTCATAGAAGTTTGCCCGCAATCGGCAGGTTGCTGGTTCAATCCCTGCTCCACCCGCCTCTGTCATTGTGTCCTTGGGCAAAGCTCTTCACCCACCTTGTCTGCTGATGGGGGTCAGAGAGCCTGGTGATGCCAGTGCATGGCAGCCTTGCTTCTGTCAGACTGACCCAGGACATTTGTGGCTACTATCCAGTAGGTTGCCACCATCAGTCCATGTGTGTTGTACAAGTACAGGACAAGACGCTGGCGCTGTATGTTCGCCCCTTCTCTATGCTAGATAGACACTATATTGTTGTTGTCATCTTTTCCTGGGTTTTCTTCTGTGCTGCTTTCAAGTTATGCTATGGATTTCATGGCACTGCTTTCTGGATATTTTCCTTGGAGCCATGGGTCTGCTGAATCCATTTTTTTTCCATCCACTTACCAGAGAAACACTTATGAAACTACATTCAGTGGTGGAGCTGCTCGTTTGGATTTGGAACTCCATGACCCAAGTTCTTTCTATGGAAGTCTGTGGGAGTGTCCGAATTCCATGGCTGTATTCACTGTTGAGATTTTCCTTTAAGTAAAAGAAGAAAATAGTTATTGCCCTCCCCCACCCTGCTAGTGGGGGAGGGCACATGTCCATCCTAAACTTAAATGTTATTGGTCAGTTTACTTTTATTTATTTGGCAGTTTGGCTACTTTCTCTAAGCTAAATGTCACTATGCAGTTGAAGCTAGCTAAAACAAATAAGCACAGTTTGAACCCTTTTATCATGTGTGCAGTTCTGGCGGGGTTGCCGGTTTAACTGCTCTTTTTTTGTGGTTTCGCAAACCGAAAAGTGGACAGGCCACACGGTTGGCCGAGCTAAGACTGCAGGAGAGTTAGACAATTAAATGTAGTTGAAAACTGTTGTAGTGCACCCATTTTCTCTCTTCACTTTGCCAAAAGAGTTGAAATTAAGCAAACATTGTTTCACCTCCTCCTCTGGAAGTCTGACACACCATCTGAACCTGGGAATCTCCATCCTCCACCTGCCGTGGTTCACACGGGTATACTTTGCTTTCCTGTATTTATTAGTTAGCATAGTTTAAAAAAAAAAAAAGGAGGATGAGACCTGCTGTTTTTATGGTCCATGTGCATTAAGCGGATATGGCCTGTAATTGTGTATTCTAGGTTTGTGCTGGTTTTGTGCCACACGCACATGATGCACGTTGGTAATGTGGTTGTGCTCTTGTGGGTCAGGTGCATTGATAGTATTGAGCGTACCCTCCAATAAAATCCTGCAGGAGTCCCCGCCTCTCTTGGAGAGAATTTCGGCCTTCAGAGCCCAGATCAGACTGTAAAGGCCCAACCATGCTGCATCCAGAAAAATCTGGATGCAGCATGGTTAGCTGTGTGCTATCTTTCTGCCGTGCTGCCTGATCTGGACTGTTTTGAGCATCTTCATTAAATTCATCATTTTCTTCTACAACCTGGGTCTCTGCGTCTCTCCTCACCACCTCTCATTCACCGCATCTGACAGCATTGATGTCCACATGGCTGCTGATGCTGGTTCTTAGAATGATGTCAAGATCAGTTCTTGCAACGTTTGTTTGACACATCATGTATGCAGTTTTTTTTTTCAGAGTTGCAGGGCAATCTGGGATTCTTTAGATCAACTAAAAGATGATACTGTGTGACAGATATTACGTTCTGTTTAAACATGTTTGAGACAGGTCACATATTCTTTACACATGTAGCCTGTGTTTTAACAAACATAATTCAGTCTTCATTATTATTACAGCTGTACTTCAAATGGTTACAAGGAAAATTCAAGCCATTGCCAAGAAATCCAAAATGCTTCTTCTGATCACTCTAGAATTAGAATTAGAATTTGTTTGTCACTGTACATATTGTTATGTACTCAGCATGGCATTAAAGCCAGGTCCAAAACAGAGCGAATAATGTAGGGAAATCTATACAATATAAACCTAAATATGGCAATATTAATAACATTCAATCAGTCAAATTTGGATGCATCTGTAGGACCTCCTTGAGGGCAGCAGGTCAATCAGGTTGAAGCCAGGTTGGGTTCTGTCCTTGGTGATGGCCTTGGCTCTGTGGAGGCTGCAGGAGGTGTGAATGTTGACCACAGAGGAGAGAGGACAGCTGCTTTTACGACCCTCTACAGCCTCATCCTGTCTGTAACAGTGCAGCTGCCGTACCACATTGTGATGCAGTATGTCAACAGAATCTGCATGGATGAGCGGTAGAAGGTCAACAGCAGCTTGGAGTTTAGTTTGTGCTTCCTGAGGACTCTCAGGAAGTGTAGGTGTTGCTGAGCCTTCTTGATGACTGCTGTGATGTTGTAAGTCCAGAAGATGTCAGCAGAGATGTGGACCCTCTCCACACTGCGTTAATGTAGAGAGGAGCCGTGTCGGTGTTGAGCTTCCTGAAGTCCATGATGACCTTCTTGGTTTTCTTGGTGTTCAGAGTAAGGTTGTTCTCTGAACACCAGGCTGCCAGCTTCAGGACCTCCTCTCTGTAGGCTGCCTCATCACCCTGTGAGATGAGTCTGACCTCTGTGGTGTCATCAGCAAACATGACAGTGTGTTTGTTGTTGTGAGCCAGACTGTGTGGTGGGTGTAGAAGCAATACAGGAGGGGTCTCAGCACACAGCCCTCTGGAGAACTGATGCTCAGTGTTTTTCAACTGTAATATGGCACATGACAGTTGCTTGGGTTCATCTTGGTTACTTTTAATGCTGGACAACATGGCTGGCTGCTTTTATAAAAACAGAACATTCATGCCTATGTTTACACACACTAAAACTAGACTCTGTCTTCTGTTTGCCTCAGGCTGTGGAGGGGGCAGGGCTGGCCTTCATAGTGTACAGTGAGGCCATAAAGAACATGCCATTGTCTCAACTGTGGTCAGTGCTGTACTTCTTCATGCTTCTGATGCTGGGAATGGGCAGCATGCTGGGAAACATCACTGCCATCACCACCCCACTACGGGACTTCAAATTTCTGTCCCACGTAAGCAACGAGGCTTTAAATGGTAAGAGGTAATATTAGGGTGTCTTTGTACATATTGTTGTTTTGGTAAGCTATTTCAATAGCATTGCTGTTTACACAGGATGAAGTTACCAACAAAATCAGCCCTGCTGACTCTTTGGTTTCAGCTTAGGCTTTTCTCACCAAATGATCTCACATGTTCACAGATAATGGTCAGGAAAGTGGTGAAATCAGTTCCATCGTAATTCAACATGAATAGGTTTAGATCTTACAATATGCTTGGGCTTTAACAGTGCGTGTATTCACACTGAAATTTTGCAATATGGATAGAATTAACTTTAAAATCCTTGTTTGTCTCCTCTGTCTTTATTCCACTTACTTTTATTTGTTCCAAGAACTAAGCAACATTTAGAAGAGATCAGACTTTCTAAGTTGTGGACAAAGTTGCCTTTGAGTAGGTGTCTTCCCTTCATCTTTGTTTCTTTAAAAATACATCTTTTCAGAAGGCCTTTGGCACAGTGTGAGTTGGCATGCTAGTTTTAAAGGTCCACTATTATGCTTCCTTGAACAAGTTAAAGGGTAGATCTATGGGCTGTACAAGTCATGTTCATTACATTTAATTACATTTAATACACAAATATTCATTCATCGATCAGTGGCTGTTTTGATCTCATTAAGGAATGTGCTGTTTCAGGGCTACCTCATTATTAATAATTAATAAGCTGCTGGCCAAGCCCTCCTAACTCAGTGTTTACGTTAGCTCCTCAGACATGTGAAAATGGCTACAGGCAGACGTGCAGTGGTGTACAACCTTATATCTTTGATCCAGAAGAGGTGGAGCCTCCTGAACAACCATCACGCCACAACCACAGAAGGATTAAACTCTGCAGATCTGATGCAAAGTGATATACTTATTAATTCAAATTATGAGGATTCTGCTTCATTTCAGGGCAGTTTGTCATGAGGTGAAGTTGAGCAACTGACATCAGCACAATTCAGCAAAAAGACTGTATTTTCCAGTTAATGCAACCTTTTTTGAAATATATATAGGTTAGAGAAGCATTAAAAAAATTCAGACAATGTCAGTAATGTCCAGGTGCCTGAAGTGTTTTCACAAGTACTGCATCCTCTCAAGGTAGATTTTCACTTTCAGTTTAACTCTGACAGTAAATGCGTAGGTGGTGTTGTAACATCAAACAGGACTAACAGTTATCATTCAGTGTTAGTTTGTGCTAAATGACAATCATGTTCGTATCGAGCAACAATACAAAACACACAAGACATCTTATGTATTTACATTGACATCTTCTGCAGATTGTGAAGAACATTAGAAACAGGATCTTCCTTCAGTCCAAGTATTTTGGTAAATCCTTCTGTGTAATGTTGGTAGTTTTCAAAGGACTACTTCCTAAGCTAATTTGCACAAATACAACATTCTTTTACAATATCGCAGGGGCATTGCAAGCAAAAATAAAATGAAGGCACACAGAAAATGCATGGACACATGCTCTGTACTGCAGGCAACAACAAATCATTTTCCTTTTAGAGCAGCCATTGCACAGCTTACCAAGCGTTAACACCAAAAACGTTTTGTGCATTAGGCACGTTTGGTTTACATTCAAAGTCTCCAGGTGCTGGTCATAAAATTAAAATGTCATGAAAAAGGTTGACTTATGTCAGTAATTCCATTCTAAAAGTGAAACCTGAGTATCATATTCATTCATTACACACAGACTGAAATATTTCAAATGTTTATTTCTTTTTAATGTTGTTGATTTGGACTGACAACTAATGAAAACTCCGAATTCAGCATCTCAGAGACTTAGAATATTACTTACGACTAATAAAAAATTACTTTTAGAAATGACCGACTGAAAAGAATAAGCAGTACTCAGTACTTGGTTGGGCTCCTTTTGCCTAGATTTCTGCAGCAATCCAGTGTGACATGGAGTCCATCATTCTGTGGCACTGCTCAGGTGTTATGACAGCCCAGGTTGCTCTGATAGTGACCTTCTGTTCTTCTGAGTTGTTCGGTCTGAAATATCACATCTTCCTCTTCACAATAGCCCAGAGATTTTCTATCCACCTTATTCCTACGCCCCATGATGCTTTGCGTGAATTATGGGCGCGACTTCCGCCGCAAGCCGGAACTGCCATTTGTTTACATGTTACCCTAACGCTAACCGGCTTTCGTCAGAGCTTGTAGGCTATAACCAG